GAAAAACTCTTTATAAGAAGGATACGCACACCGTGAAGAAACGTCATACTTTGCGGGTAGCAATCCCCACCGTGATTGATTGCAACCGCTATTTCACAATTTCAAAGATGGGCGAAAGAAGTAGCTGCGGCTCTTAATTGCGTATGTCATTCATTGTAAATTTACTATTTGTACCATTTAAAGCAGCATTGACACTACAAGTCGAACTTGGCATGAAATGAACAATAACATTAATCATGACTTTTACCTTCCCGAAAATCTTGCAGAACGTGCGGTTCTTCTGAATGAAATTTCAGAACAAAATGTCGGTTCTTGTCCGTAAGTTGCTTAGCATGAAACAAACACAACGATCGCGAAACCAGCTTCCAAAATTTCATTCTGCCAAATTTACGACGAATATCTGAAGAATTTCCTCACAAAAATAAACACTCGCAAGCAAACCGGATTAACCCGTTTTAGCAGTCGCTAGAAAATTGCTACTACTACTACTTCTATTTTGCAGAAGCTTAACGAACCAAACGAAAAACATGGTAAGACTCTTTCTGATGAACAGGGAATGACTAGAACAAATCATTTTATGACCACGAATTTGAGTAACGGTTTAACTGGTTCCTTTTAAGGTCGCATCCTTTAAAGACAAAAAAATATTGCTGGGCATGCAGTTCTTTGATGGTCGTATATAAAACTCAATAACGAGACAAAGAAGATCACCGGATCACGATAGGTACAAATCAAAGAAATCATAAGTGCCAAAGTGTTAGAGCAGCATTCACCCATCAGTGACTCATAAAAGGCTGACGACGATAAAATGCGCAGTATGAATATGATATGTGTATATTGAATGAACGAATTCCTTTATTCTGTAATGAATTTAAATTTGATTTAGTTAACCAAAAAAAGTTTATAATCAAACATTTTAAGGTAATCAGAAAAGCAGTCAATTCATTGAAAGAATGTACTAATACACGACATAATTCCACGATAAATTAATGGCAGGTATGGAAAGCATGGTAGAATTATTTCTCCTTCAAAGTCGGGATTTTAGACGGTCAATGCATTTTCTGTATTTTTGCATAATTATTTATTGAAAAGTCTGAAAACTGACTCCTTTGAAAAAACGAACCACAGCTGGGGTTCATCAGTTTCGACGACCGCTTAACCTTTCTGCGAAGGCAGACTCGTCAGACAGTGTTTCTAATTTTCTGCTCCTGTGCTAGCGTTTGAGCTTCGGCAGTAGATAACCCAAGTAGAGAGCAGAGTCATTGAATAAATTGTTATAGGTTATTCTAGGCTGTTGCTCGGGTTTTTGATTTGTCAGCTTGGTAAGCCATCAATCCATCACAGTTGTGGATTCTCAGTCTTGAAACTCGAATATCTGCATTTGAGTGATTTCGAAACGCTTCAATTCAGCGATTAGTTTAAGAAAACTCATTTCAACCTTTTTTCCCGAGATCGAAATTTTTCAGTCTTGGCCCACGACTCTTGACTTTAAGTAGATGAACGTGTCGCTATTAGCACAGAAAGATTGCACTGGAAGTAGGATGCCACAGTGCCTTATGTGTTGAACAAGAATCATTATGTTGTACAACGTAAATTTCATCAAATGATAGATTTCTGCGCTTCTGAATAACGCGAGACTTTGGGCAGAAACATCACCACTGAACTGTAACAGTGCTCGGTCCGGATAGACAGTCATGCTGTGTAGTTGCTCCTTGTGTAAGTATGTTGCGAACAGGGGTTTAGGATATTGTCTTGTGGCGGATGGCTTGCATCGTTAAGCAGCGATTCATCCAAATATCTCACCGCTTTCAAAACTTGAACTGCAACCCATTTCATCAGTTCTTCTTTACCGATCTCATGATTCGGGCGACCAGCAGAACGGCTTGTCATGAGGCTAAATCTCTTTACTGCGCATGTATGTAAGTGAACAGTCACAGCATTAGCTGACGGAGCTTTGTAAATTTGAAATGACTGATAAGATATAAAACGCCGAACGAACATTCTATAAAGGAGAAAAATTACCCCTCCGCCCATCAGCATAATCGCATAAAGATTTACTAGGCACGGTCAAGATATGAACGTTCTGGTCGACTTTTCGAATGACGCGCCATTTAACTTCAACAGCCGTACTTTACACTCAACAACTATTAACAAACTCTGATAGGAAAGAACTTTTTAACCATGCCGCAAACAACAATGTGATCGTG